GATGTTCTCTCTTGCTCCAGATCACTCCCAACAAAAACATCATCAACCAAGGCACTGGGATCAAAAGGGATTACATTGTATCCTAGCAACAGGTTAGCTGCTAATCCCCCGAAAGGTCCTCCCTTCTTGTCTCTCACTAGTCTCTTACTGCATCAGATGAAATCTTCTAACCGGTACATGTTAAAACATCCCTAAAAGAATAATGCGCCCTTAGCCATTTCATCTGGCAGCCCTGCCATTTATCATTCTGTCTGTTTAAAGCCAGAAAGACGTTAACTCATATAAACACTTTAACAGAGGATTAAGACCCTTCTTGCTCTTAACGGATGATTTTATGGTTTGTTTAAAGGTAAAGACCAGTATTGGAAATGCCCCAATTTCAAAAAATGAAATAAAAGCTCTTATTACCAATCATGTGAAAGAATATGTTTTGACTAATACATGGTGATACAAATTTTGCCGGGAAACTGCCTACTAATTGATATATTTGGTAAATTAGTTATCTACATGGTCTGTGAGAGATAAATGCACGTGTTCCGCGCACGTGTGCGTATAGTCCCATATACATCTTTCTGTGTACAGTGCTTGTAACTTTACGAAGACTGGGCTATATTTCTTATCATTTTGATGATTCCAGAACCTTGCAGTACACACCAATACTTACATTATATGCTAGATGATCAACCTTTTCTGATCGATTCCACAACGTTTCTTTCACAATGTGATCGCATGACCATAACTGGTCTTTACCTTTAAAACTTCAGAAATTATGCAACAAACTTACAGCATTTTTTATGATGATGTAAAGTAAAATTGGCTTCGCATTTCTGTATCTTATAACACATAGCTCAGTGAATACGCACAAGTCCTTTGTTGCACGCAGATGGCATTCATTTTACATATCTAAAAAAAATCATGACTGTTGTTTTGCGGCGGTTAACTGAGCCGTGAGTAAACAATCTATTAGTCTGTTGATAACCCTAAGGTAGCTAAGTCTGTTTTTAAATATTCAAATTAATGACCTTCTGGCTCTGAGCAAACAGTTTGCATGATTTTGGAGTACAGTTTTACTTCTTTATGGTGTTGTCTGTTTGTTTGTTTATTGTCTGTCTGTTTGTTTGTTTGTTTGTCTCTCTGTCTGTCTGTCAGTATGTCTGTCTCTTTCTCTCTCTCTGCTTGTGTTTGCTTGTTCATTTTGTCTGCTTGTTTGTTTGTCTCTGTCTGTCTGTTTATCTTTCTGTGTGTTTGTTTGTTTATTGTTTGTTTATTGTCTGTTTGTCTCTCTGTCTGTTTACCTTTCTGTGTGTTTGTTTGTTTATTGTTTGTTTGTTTATTGTCTGTTTGTCTCTCTGTCTGTCTGCCTAACTGTCTGTCTTTCTGCCTAACTGTATGTCTGTCTGTCTGTCTGTCTGCCTAACTGTATGTCTGTCTGTCTGTCTGTTTATCTATCAGTTTTTTTGTTTGTTTCTTGTTTGTTGTTTTCTGTATATGGCCTTTACTCTAAATAGTGTAATTTATAAGCCACAACAAGGGTGCTTGCTTTGTGCTTTAAAAAATCTTGTTTGCAATTGTGTAGTAGGAAGAAGTAAACCAGATTACAAATAAAAAGAAATGCAGAATTAACAAAATTAAATTCCATCTTTTAGTCATTGATAATATTCGGTTATATAGCGCACACATTTTACAACGTCTCTATGCGCTTCCAAAGAGCTTTGGGAATTATTACTCCAGCTTTAGCTCCAGCAGCTGTACTCAGTGCATTTCAAGGGATAATCCTACCAGGTACCCATTTACCTCACGTGGGTCGAGTGTGGCATTGGAGAGTCTCAAAGTCCCACCTCCTATTGGAAACCATAGGCCTGCCTTCATCAGCTCGAGATTGCCGAATATCCAGCTATTTCGCAAATTATCCAGTTAGTTTGCGTCTTCATCAGCCCGAAGACTCACACTATTACTCACACGCTTAGCAAAATATCTTGAGCTAATTTCTCAAGGTCAAGTTTCAAGTTTTGAGGTCGAATCTCAAGCTGATGAAGACGTGATTTGTAACTTCGGGATTATTTCCCAAATCAGAAATAGCAGGCTATTTGGCGATCTCGAGCTGATGAAGACATGCCTATTGATTACAGTTTAGAGTGTACAGTAACTTAACAGCCTGGGGGATTTATAGGAGCAATACACATTTGAAATTTGTCAGTCTAATTCCCTGCATTGTGACTTCATGCAACCTTTGAACTTGAAGTATGTTTACTGCATTAAACTGGGATACATTGTGACATTTTTATGTTGAAGTACACTGCCTAGAGGCAGTTATTATTCAGTAGTCAGCATTTCAGCTATCGATTGCACCAATTATATTCCCCTTTCTGCCACAATAATGAAACAGTTCTCCATAGTCTTTAAAATTGTCAATATGAATAAATTGTTTTGATGTGAGATTTGAAAAAGAGTAGCGAAGTATTATGGAAGCAAATTTAAACATCATTTAAACAAGAAAAGAAGAAAGGTCTACATGTGTCAGGTAAATCTCTGACAATCACTGTGGCATAATTATTACAAACAGTCCAGGTTTATAACAAAGTTTCTCTACAAAGGGGCCGTAAAGGAAAATCCGTACATAATATTCTGATTTCTGAAACACTTGCACACATATCAACCACAATGCATGCAAAATGAGCAAGAAGCCAAGAAGCATGGCAAGTAGCCACGCCAGGTGAAGAGAGGAATAAATTTGCAAATATGCAGCCCTGCTACGGCCATCACACGCAAAGGAGATGCCCATCTTTATGCAGAAATGGGTGAGGTAGTGCGAAAAGGAGACCAAAATCGATTGCCTCCTTACTTGGGTTTCGGAGGCATTTGATCTGGGTTGAATCGCTAAGAAATGCAGGGAAGCCATATTTCAAGATGGAAGTGAAAAATAAAGGAAAACTGGTTGTTGTTTACATTGCAAGAAGTAAACTAGAGAGGATTTTTTTTTTCCTTCCCATTTTTCATTATTTATATATTTATGAGTACCAGTAGTATTATTTTTAGATGCAATTTTTGTTTAAATTATACAAGGTTTCCTGGGTCAACAAACAAGATATATTCTTATTATGTATTCATATTCATATACTTATGTTCACTATATTTATAGTACTACATACATACATAACTGTCTCATAAATAACCTTACATAAATGTGTTTACATAAAATAACATACACATTGGAAAATAATGGATGACCAACAGGGGTGCTATCAACTAACATACTAGTATCAACTGGTCAAAACTTGAAAGTATCACTTCAAAATAACATCACTTTGCAGAATAATATTTCTTTTTTTGTTATCACATTTTTTTTTTGGAGAAGGGGACTTATTTGCCTGTTAGAAATCTTGAAATTGTGCCCCTCCCCCCTCCCCTGATTAAAGTTTGGTAGAAATAGACCTTCTGCAAGCTACATTTTTCCCAAAAGATCAACTTACTGATCCATTGATTTTATTGGTAGAAAAAACGTATTTCCATTAGTGACTTTTGAAAAGAAATGATCTAACTGGTAACCACAAAGATTCCATCATTGGGCGGAGCACAGGTATTCATTCCTTTCACTGTCATTTGACACTCTGTCTCTGGCATAAATAAATCTACTAGATCAAGTATGCCAAAGGCTGATCTTGGCTGACCTATGGCTAGGCTACACACAACACAATCCAAACTACACTGATCCAATGCATTGTACCTGTTGCATTTATATTGATATTATATGGTGAATAGTCTTATTATTCAAACTTCATTGTTGACACTTTGCATGCGTTGCATTTCGAGCCATGATGAATTCAACTATTTTGAACCCCTTCATTATCAAACAGTACAGTCCAGCACTGTATATAACAGCACAAATTTAAAAGAGCGAAAATACACCATTAACATGATGGCCTGTACATCTAAGAAGAAGAACTTGCATTAAGGTGTTTATGCTCTTGCTAATCTTGGGGCTCCATTTCTGTTAATACATGTACATGAAGGATTCTGGTATGTGTTAAAATGAAAAAATATACATGTCTTTTAACTCAGTACCGTATTGACTAAAATGAAATTGAAATAAGTCAAATTATTTGAACTTTAATGTTAGTAAATGGTGTGATGTTTGTCTTCCAATACATGTTCAAATGTTTTCTTAGGACCATCCAAGCCCCCCCCCCCCCCCCCTGCCCACTTCCTCTGAGACTGCAACCCCCCAGGTGTAACTGCTCATTGGTCTTCAACAATCACAAAATGAAGAAAAAAAACCTCTCTCCTCCCCTTCCCCATCTTCTTCCTTCCTCCCTCTGATAGGTCAGAATCATTTTTTTTTGGGGGGGGGGGGGGAGGGGGGTAAGGACAATTTAATCTTTCTTCTAATTGGCATTCATGCACAAGTTCATAGTTGCACAATGATTAAGAGCTAGACCCGGGAGATAGAATGAGGATAACAAACATTTCAAAACAGGTCTGTCTCATAAAAATTTGTGATTGATTCAAACCAATTGCAACTTGATATCACTCAAAATGTATCTGTACTAAACTCAAACCCAGAATAAATTGCATTATCTATAAGATCCAGTTATAAATTAAGTATGAAAGGTAAACAAAATAACAAGATATATGGAGCATGTTGTTTGTAAATTTGGAACAGAGTAACATAAGTACTGTTCTGTAAATTGTAATTGATAATTCCCTTGTGAGTGTAATCCACAATCATATTCATATTATATAGCCTACAGCAGTAGCCTAAACTTGTACTTGTATGTTTAACAAAGTTAGTATTCATTTGTTGAATTTTGAAAGCGGCACATGACATTCATGAAGTTTTTCCCCACATCATGGATCAGTCACTCACATGCTTATGACAGGAAGCATTTCAACATAATAACAGCGCTTTCCACACGACCACTCCAATTAATACAAATCCATAATCGACCATTACAACGTTCTAACTTTTATGAGACATAACATTTTAAAGCTCGAACACGTACCTTTGATCGCAGATCGTCGCGGTGTTTTTAGAACGGGGAAACTCCGGCAGGGTGTGTGGGCGTTGTCCGCTACACTCGACGAATTCATCAGCTGACTAGCTGGCGCTGGCTTATGTTGTATAAAACAAAATATGTGGCATAAAAGTTCAGGCAAAGATATACAGAATCACGGAAGTTTCCTTTCAATATATACAGCTTCAGATTAATATGCCTTTAAAGTGATGTGGAGTTTCGATGCATACGATCGTACTGTACTGCGGAGTCAGTTCGACTTACAGATTACAAACAACAGTAGCCTACAGGTGTATTATGACCGCTACGTCAGCTAGATCGTCGCCGCTGCCGCATGCCTCGTTCATAACGGGTGACGGCCTAGGGAGCGCTGCCGCAGTATCTGGCCTTCAAAAACTATTAGGTACTACTCTACTTCAACAGGTGGCGCTCGTGCAAGAAGATCAAAACAAGCAAGTTGAGAGAAAAATATTTTTGAATCAGATTTCAGTAGGGCAAGATGGGACACAAGCCCCCCCACACCTCCCTCCCCCTCCCTCCCCTCCCCCCCCACCAATCCTTAATATCCAAATGACGACTAAGAAAGGATTGGGGGCGTGGCCGCGTGAGGCGTCCCCGCTCTTTCTTGGTCTCCCTCCGGGAATATATTGGTGCTTGCTGTTATGATGATAATAATTAATTATGTAGGGTACGCACTCTATTTTATGGGGGGTTATATTATCATCGTTTTTATTAATTAATCAATCAATTTATTAGAACACCGCGACGAAGAACAGATCAATTTTCTCGGTTGATTTTTATCTTTAAAAACTTTTTAAAACCATACTGGATGTTTGTGAATATTTAACCACGTTAAATGTATTATATTATTGAATGTTGAATTTTATATCTGATGTCAAAATTACTGTTCTGTTGGAAATCAAAAATGAAACGGAAACTGAACAGACTGAAGTGGGTGATTGTATGATCTTCATTTTAATGTTGTTTTGCTTCTAGAATAGTCCTTGTAAAATTATTTAGTGTTTCCTGATGTGTTATAAGATGTTTGTATTTCATATTTTTATGATCGTAAATAAAACCAAACCAAATTCCCATCTCTCTCTCTCTCTCTCTCTCTCTCTCTCTCTCTCTATCTCTCTCCCTTCATAATCCTTTTCCTCGATCACTCTGCCTCACTTTACTCTATAAAACTCTCACTGATTCTTTCCTCTCACTCTTCCTCTTATTCTATAGTCTCCTCTCTGTTCACTCTCACTGTCTCTTTCTCACCAATTAACTCTCTCGGTCAACTCTCTCTTTCTTTATCTAACTCGGCCGTCCCCCTCTCAGTGTTCCTATCTCCCTGTCCTTCCTCCATTCTCTTCTCTTTCAAAATAGCTGCCATACATTTTCTTTACGGTACGAACATACACAAAATTAAAGCAAAAGAGTTGCACATATTGTTGTTTTTTTTCCCTTCTCTTTCTTGTAAAAAATTAATTATAACCGGTATTATAATTGTAAAATTTAAATGCTTAGTTATGGAAAAATAAATATATAAAAAATGAACAATTAATGTAATAAACCATTTGAATTGATAACCAATCCAATTGGCGAAATGAGACGGCCATCGCAGCCATTGGGCGATGGAAGAACTTAATTTAATTTAATTTAATTTAGGAACTTTACATTATTCTTGATCTATAAGGAGACACATACCAACGAACTACTACTACTACTACTTCTGCTACTACTACTACTACTACTACTACTACTACTACTACTACTACTACTACTGCAGTTGATGTTGTTTCTGCCGTTACTACTATTAATATATATTATTATATTATATTACAGCTTAATGACACATTATTTTGTGCCATGAATCAAATCGAATCACTGTATTCTAAGACGGTCAACATTACCATTCTCTAATGTGTCTCTATCACTATACCAACTTGTACTGACGTTGGCTACTACTAGCCTAACACTAGACTAGTACTACAACTCTACTGCAGCACATTAAGCCGTTGCCATAAACATTGCTTATAACAGTACTGATCTAGAGGAAATCATAGATTTTCTTTTATATTCTAATGGAGAAAAAATGTGTAGGTAGGGAGAGGATCGATATTGATAGTAGTAGGCTATAAGTAAAATGGTTTTATTATAGAACAACTGCAAAATGGTAGCCCGAGAGCTAAATTACAAACTACATTGCAAGTTTTACAAGCTCAGTTTTAAAAAGCATTTCAACAAAACTTAGATATAGACAAGTACAAAATAATACACAGTAAAATAAATTATAACTTATTACATATTCCATACTTGCAAACAAATTGATGATACAAATAGAATAGATTCGTCATTATTAATATTTTTGTAATCATTGTTAAGTGAGGAATATTTATATTTTAAATAGAAATTGAAGCTGATTAATTAAGTTTATGCCAAGTAAATACTGAAGATTTGTTTGATTTCGAACCGTAATAAAATACAAATTGAATGCCTATTCATAATATAGTATATAGAGAACAAATTTCACATGTAAAATAATGCAATAATTATCATTTTATTTTTTAAAGATAGGACCCTATTATGTAGAAACGTTCATTTACATTTTAGTACCATACTATTTGCCACTTACGTGTTTTTTTATTGTAAAATTGATTATAAAAAAGGATTTTCTATCTGAATGCTTTTCAATCATCATAATTATACCTTCCAGAATTATATTATTCATTCTCTGACAGACTAAATAGCATGTGTTTGGAGCCAGAAGTGCGTTAAGTCTATCTTAAAAGATAATGCATTAATGGTATAACGTAATTCCCTTTTAGCTCCAAACAGACAATAGCCTAAATTAAATCTCCTCTTTCAAATGAATACAAACATTTTCAAAAATTATGTTATACTCCTTCCTGAATTTTTTCTTTATTTTTCTCTCTAAAAGGTACTGATCAATACACAATCATACAAATATTTCGTATACTAAGTAAGTAAGAAAAGTACGAACACCAATATGGTGCATGTCTTCATAATTATATTGTTATAATAACGGTGAACGTATAAACTCGTCCAGCCATGAGGCTGATCGCTTGTTTGTTCATTTGTTTTTTGCAGGAAGAATTTTACCCCAATATCTTTGAGGATGTACAAGCGAATTAACACGATCGCAAAGATTTTCAAGAAATCAGCAAACGGGAAATTACAATACCCTATTGTACTAACCAGCGGCGTAGCGTGGGGGCACAGGGGCACCCATATTAAGTGATTAAAAAATAAAAGAAATGAGGGGCGAGAAAGGAATAGTGAGAAGGGGAAGGGCGAGAAGAGAAGACGTCTAGACCGCCTCCCGCATCCTCATAATAAAATCAACAATATAGATAGAAGTAGTAGGAGTAGTGGCCTTGTGAATTTTCATTTCATTTTCCGAGTAAGACAGGGGTGCCCCCCCCCCGGTCGTGCCAGCGCCCCTCAATGGATGTAATTACGCTACGCCATTGGTACTATCCATGGAAACGTTCATTATGAAACGGTTCATTGTAGTATTCGCACAAGGTGATGAACGAGGCCATTGAAACCTCTAATATGATGACTTTTTGAAGATCTTTTCGATCGTATTCAATACTTTACAAACCTATCAAGCAGTCATGTCGAATTTAGGTTTATGATATTCACAATGTGCCTTGACTTTAGATGATATTAGCCGTCGCATGTACACAATTACGACGATGACGACGAGGGCGACGACGACACCGAGTACACACAGTATGACGATGCCTAATGTTTTCCAGGACGACGAGGACGAGCCTTCTCTGGTAGATGCGTAGGCATCATTCGATTCGCAATTGTTGTCGGAGTCTCCTATGTATAGAACAAGGCAAGGAAGGGGTCGCTTTAAACTTAAGTATTTAGAATATTATGCTCGGGATCGTCCCAGAAAACCGGCAGCCTACGAGACCGACATTAACAAAATGTTCACTAGACCGATATCCTAACTGACTGACAGCCCTCGAGACCGATATTGATTAAAGGTTCATTAGACCGATATCCTAACTCAGGCGCGTACGCAGGATTTTTTCAAAGGGGGGGGGGGGGGGGGGGGTTTAACATTTTCAAATCGGGCCGATAATTTCGCACGACTCAGCCAGCCGCTGAATAAGCGGGGGGGGGGGGGGGGGGGGGGGGGGGGGGGGTAAGAGGACCCTTTTTTTTTTTTGGTCTCGAAATTTGAAAAATTGACATTTTGCTCCCTTGGGGAGGGGGGGGGGGGGGTAAGGTCACCTTTTTTAGGTCAGCCATGGGAATAATTTTTTTTTAATTTTTTTTTTTATTTTTTATTTTTAAATTAAATTATTATTATTTTTTGTTTAAACCCAAAGGGGGGGGGGGGGTTTAGGGGGGTTTATACACATAAAAATACCAAAGGGGGGGGGGGGGTTAACCCCCCAAACACCCCCTGCGTACACGCCTGTCCTAACTGACTGACAGCCCACAAGGCCGATATTGATTAAAAGTTACTGATAGTCCTCGAGACCAATATTGATTTAAAGGTTCATTGATAGCCTAACTGACTGACAGTCCTCGAGACCGACATTGATTAAAGGTTCATAGCCTAACTGACTGACAGCCCATGAGACCGATATTGATTAAAGGTTCATTAGACCGATGGCCTATATATAACCGACTGACAGCCCTGCACGAGACCGATATTGATTAAAGGTTCATTGGACCGATAGCCTAACTGACTGACAGCCCTGCACGAGACCGATATTGATTAAAGGTTCATTGGACCGATAGCCTAACTGACTGACAGCCCTGCACGAGACCGATATTGATTAAAGGTTCATTGGACCGATAGCCTAACTGACTGACAGCCCTGCACGAGACCGATATTGATTAAAGGTTCATTGGACCGATAGCCTAACTGACTGACAGCCCACGAGACCGATATTGATTAAAGGTTCATTAGACCGATAGCCTAACTGACTGACAGCCCACGAGAACGATATTGATTAAAGGTTCATTAGACCGATAGCCTAAAGCTATGGTCACAAATCAGAGCAGCGACCGACCGATCAGTAGCCTGCTCGGTCGCTGCTGGAATTAGGCATCGCCCAGCGATTAGGTCGGTGCCCGGGCGGCGACCGCCCAGGCACCGAGCGTATTTTGGGCGGCGAGTGAAAAGTGAGCAGGCGCCGCCCAAATTTTAACTCCGCGCTAAAACTTCAGCGGCGACCGAGCGATGCCCTAAAAACGAGCGGTGCCTGGACGGCAGCCGCTCGGTGGCTGGGCAGCCGCCGGGCAGAATTGGTTAAAAACTCGCCGCTCGGCCGCCGAGCAGTCTACTTTTGGGTAATGTGACCATAGCATAACTGACTGACAGCCCTGCACGAGACCGATATTGATTAAAGGTTCATTGGACCGATAGCCTAACTGACTGACAGCCCACGAGACCGATATTGATTAAAGGTTCATTAGACCGATAGCCTAACTGACTGACGGTAATTTTTTTTTCAATAGTGAGTGCTTTATTTCTTGTTGTACAACGGCCCAGAGGGAAAGAGAGAGAAAAAACTCAGTGGACATACTTTCACTGTAAGCTGAAAGCTAGCTACAGGCGAGAAAAGGAAAGGAAAAGGTAAGTCGGCAGTTGCTACACAGGTGGTTGAAAGGAGAAGAAAAGAAGAGCAAAAGATGGTGGGAAGATTGGAGAGAAGCCAGAAGAAAAGTGGCTAAAAAAAAAAAACCCACATAATTTGGATAAATTAAGTGCCTTACATAGAACTACAAGCCTAAATCAAGACCGCCAACACAGTGCATCAGTGCATGCCTTCACCAGTGCATCAGTCAGAAAAGTTGCAGTGCGGTGAAGTGGACAACGAGGGCGACATTCTTTGAAGCAGTGCGTATCGTGATTGCGTGCACTATTTTCGAAAACTTACCAACCAATGTTTTCGTTTGGAATAGGGGAACTAGGCGGTTGCAAGTGAAAATTGGTTACGGAGTTCATCCTGCTGGTAGAGACGTGTAGTTCATATCTAACGAAGGTCTCGTGCGATGCGTTGAAAATTTGAAGTTCGGACATCATGTAGCCGGGCCTCACGTTACTGAAATGTATGATGAAAAAGACAACAAATTATAGCAATGTACCATGATGAAGTGTTATTTGTCAGTGCACGGACATACATTGTGTACCCTTGTTTGTTTTATTTTATTTGTTTGTTAATGTTTGGTTGCTTCAAAGAAGATATATTTTCTTTGGGTTGTTAAACTTGGTTCGATCGCCTAACTAAGTTAGATATCGGATTTTCAATTTAAATCTCGCAAAAAGGGCGATCCAACATTTTTAACAAATTGCCTTGAAAGAAATCAAACAAAATGATTAGAAAAACAGGATGGGGAATTTCCAAAAAATGTCGACAAATAAATTATTACCCTCCCCCACCCCCTATTTTTATTGGCTAACGCCTAGAATATGTAAGCCGTCCGTTCCCCCGTACTTTTGAATAGCCGACAATGTGATCCTTAGCACCTCATTGGCCCCTCCCCACAATGGTACTGACATGCTCCAAGCACTGGCGTGCTGATGGGGAGGGGGGGGGGGGGGGGGGCTGGGGGCAGTTGCCCCCCCCCAATCAAATTCATATGTAGTTCACTTCTAATTCGATATCAGTAATTTACAAATGTTGCTGACATGGCAAGAGTTTTACCTGAGCTTCACGGAATCCGGGGGCTCCGCCCCTGGACCCCACAAGGGCCCTAAGGCGGGCCCCTGGATCGAGCCCTGAATGCTCATCTGACCGTAATAAAAATGCGTAAAACCCCTGAGATTCATGTTTTATAAAATGATGTTTTATAACATGATTTTACTAATGACCGGTCATAAGTATTTGCTAATGACTGGTCCGATAGTGAAACTACATGTTATGCAAAATAAATGCCTGGTCACGTATAAACGCTCTCAACCAATCATTATTTTGATAAGAACCCGCTTCGTCATATCATAAACCTCAATGATTATTTGGTCATTCGGGTTAAATTAATATTGTGTTCATGCAGTCTCTTCTGGTTCCGGGTCTCGGTCTAGTTGATGTGGATGAGGTATGATATCTCAGTCAAACGAACGAAACCGAAACCAGGTCGACAACAGACCGAAAAGTACCCGGGATAGAATGGAAAAGAAATGGTTGGTTTGGAGTCGGGCTGGAGTAGATTATAGATATGCCGCGGTGTGCATGGTGTATTTTACTGGTGTATAAGCCGCACATACTTTTCTTTATTGGCATGAATGACCGTCCCGTTCAGATCTACATAGTCTGGGAGGTCCCATTCTCCGGGTGTGACTTCCATTAGCCAATACGAGTAGCTGTTGGCCATAACATCCTCACCCACATAGATCTCACAACGGAAGGTGACATTTGACCCGAGCTCTGCCGTGTGATTGGCGCAAAGATCCCCGGCGACAACAATGGGCGGAGCTGGGGGCGGAGTAGCTGTAAGAGTTAACAGAATGAATGTGATACTATACAAATCGTAACAATTATGAAAATTACAATGACGATGATGATGATGATGATGATGATAGTGATACTAATAGCTGATATGTTGTTAAGATGATGATGATAATAATAATAATAATAATAATAATAATAATAATTATTATTATTATGAATATCATTTTCCTTATCATCATCATCAGTAAGTAACTACTATGTATCATTACAATTCTACAATATGATCATTATCTTAACAATAAGGATCTTTGAATAAAATTATACATAATATCGGCCGCGTCATACCAAAAGACGTTAAAAGATGGGAGTTGTTGCTATCTTGTTTGGCGTTCAACAATAAGGGATAGAGCAACGTCGATCTGACGCTGCTCAGTGGCTGCCGGGCTCACGATCAATTGGGCAAAAAGAATTTCCGTTTTGGTTTAATAAAATTTGGAGTGGACTATTAGGCTATTATTATTATTATTATTATTATTAAACAAGGATACTTTCAATTAAAATTATGGACTTAATCGTATGGCAGATTAAGTCAATCCAAAATGAAGTAGAAATACATAATACCTCTTTCTCCTGGTGCAAAATAAAATGAAATTATCAAAGGGGGGGGGGGGGGGGCGAAACGGGAACTCTTTTCATACCTTTCACTCTCAGGGTGATGTTTCTGGAAATCACTGTTCCATTTGCACCCGTCACTTCACACGTGTACACGCCCGCCGCCTCAAGCCCCACCCTCCGGAACATGAGCGTCGAATTACAAACGCCCTGTGCCACGCCCATATCCACAGACCACGCCCACGGGAAGGGAAGGCCGTCCTTCAGCCATCGCATGGAGCAGAAGTTCTGCGGGTAGCATACGAGGTCTTTGTAGGTGCCCTGTTTGGAATGCTCTAGCCGGGTATATCTGCCAAACTCGAAACCAACCAATCCGATATCTGTACCTATAATTGAAAAGAAGTGAAAGAAAAAGGGGAGGAGATATAGAAAAAACAAGAAAGCGATAGAGAGAGGGGAGCAAAGAGGGAAGAGAGAGAGAAATGTGTGATTATTGATCACCAATGTGTGGCACTTCAACAAGTTCAACGTGAGTATTAATTTTAATTTCCTTTCTGATACACAGTCACATACGCTTCAAACGTTATCCTATTCGATCGAATACAAGGCAAACCGAGAGATAATAGAATCGAAAGACGTTTTTAGATTCAATACGTATAGTGAGAGAGAAATAGCAAATGAAACAGATGAATAGGCCTACGTGTCATTGTTTTTCTTTAGTTTTCGTTTTGCTTTGAACGTGTATAAAAATGAACATCGTTAACATAAAAAAGAAAAGTATTTTAAATACTTCAAGGAGTTTGTGGAAACAAATTAATGTCAAAGAAGACAGGACAAAACATAAGGAAATGGACTCCAATTAACATCTCTGTAATTTGAAAATATCTATCGTTTTGGTGATCTTTGCATTCATAAAAAAATCCTGTTTTGAGGCAGAACTTAAGCAAGGAAAAATCCCTGTAAATGTTCCATGATGGTATTCGATCGAAACGTTGTAAAATAATTTCAATCTTTTTGAGACGAATTTCTGCAACGGCAACCAACAGTCTTTTTTTTCTTCAATTAATTTCATTTATAATTATAACGTTATACCATCCCTCTAGATTCGAACACCCAGCAAGTAATTTAATATGGCGCAGAAAACGGGTTTATTGAAATTTGATAAGATCCTTGTGAATAAGACAAAGTGCCTCTTTATTCCGATTTCCTATGAAAATAAAGGTACTTATATTTCACTAGCGTTAAGACATTCTTAATATTTAGATAGAGAACTATTACACCAAATCAATGCAAAGTGCGTAACCCTATATAGTTTTTTTCAAATTAGTGTGAATGCATGCAAGGAAACGTTAGGGTATTTATTTGTTCTTTATCTTCTCTTTGCGGAAACACTTAGATTTACGTGCTGTCCTGCGTGAGTGTTAATAGGGACTTTTAGATTTGCGTGGACTGATACGTGTGACATACATTCAAGGCAGTGCATTAAAAGGACGTCGATCGTAGCAATCCCCATTGTCTTCGTGCGAATCTAAAAGTCCCTATTAAGAAACTTTCACGTTCAGTTCTAAAACAAATACATAACAATTTTTAAACATCCTCCAATTTGGAAATGCTGGATACGGGCAAGCCACATGCTAACATCAATTATTCACGTGCTTGTCTTCCTGTTATCAAAAATATGACTACAAGAATAAATGATTAATAAACAAACACAAATAAGTTTGAAAAGGTTATGTTGTACAATGTAGAGAGGATTTTAAACAGTTTGCGTTTTTTACGTGACAGTGACTCAAAAACATCCTTACATTATGATACATCCCCACAGGACTTGAGGTTGTAATTTGTTTTCTTTCTGAGAATTGTTTAGTTTAGTCAAACGAATCATTAAAACAAAAAATCAATCATCTACATCTCATGTTTACATAGAAAAGCATATTTTCACAAGAGGTTTAAAGTGACCTCTGTTAAGGGAAACATAATTTAGACGATTTACATACATCACCAAAATAAAAAGTAGGATAGGATAAATAGGAATTACAACATACAAAATTCTCGGCAAACAGCAATATGTGAGTGAATTCTAAGATCATGCAAACTCATATCAAAGGTGAAGGGGCACATTCATCCCGTGCCCCCTTCAAACCCGATTGACTAAATATAAAGTATACCATCCCCATAACAATTCCCCTCATATAAACATATAGTTTTAAACAGACAAACAAAAATACATATAACTTTTATTGCTATTTAGTATCTATTTTCTTGCTTTTCAGATAGTTTGCGGTATTGTACCCCTTTTTTTTTAAATCACGGATCCGCTCCTACACTAGCATACATTTTGTTTTCTTTGAAGACTGACCACTAGTTAGTAATATTTAAGGCCGGGATTTTCCCTTGGTACCGCGATTGACCGATACTGCCATAAAATTATCCAGATTTCAAGGAACACTTTACACTAAGTACATATCCAGTTTTAATCAAACAGATCGATACTGCCTTATCTAACCGGGGTTTATTTTATCTTATAATACTCCTTGCTGGTGTCAGTTATCTTTGTTCCCTCTTTTATATCTTTATTATTTGTTTGCTTCTTCTCTATCGTTGCTTTTCTTCCTTCTTTCACCTACATATTCGACCTGTTTTAGTCTTGATCTGTATCTTCTACTGGTTTTCGAGTTTAAAGATTAAAATATCTATAACATCAGTATGATTGCATGTTTAGAGCATGGACTTACTAAGACAAAAGTATTTTTAGATGTGAAACAATAGCAAACTGCAAATAATTTATGTCATATAACATCTCTCCCCCGCCCTCTCTGACTCTACATAGTCTGACAGAATATTTGAATCTAAAAAGAAAACGATTTCTGTTACTTCTTTATATTGTAAGTGCAACCATTGGGAAGTAGTGTTGGAGAATGAGTAAAACGAAACTGAAACCCAATAATAAAAACGAAAATAATTCTTACTCACAGACAGAGTGAAGAGACAATTTTATAGTTTGTTTTTTTGTCTCTTCACTCTTCACTCTGTCTTTGCATACAAAGTTATTACGTGTTCTATATCATAGAACACGTAATAACTTTGTATGCGTTTTAGTGGTTTGAGTCTTAATTTCTTTTTTAATTGGAAATATTTTAATATCACAAAGAAAAAAAATCTGTGTTTTTTTTCTTCATGATCAATAATTTTACGCTTATAAGCTTTTATTAATGGCATTTTCGATCAAACATTGTTTAAAGTTTATGCAAACATGCAATAGGCCTACTTGAAATTTGGATAAACTTAATTTTGATCGGGAATGATTTCCCATGTATTACGTTGGGGATTTTGTGTGGAAGATTTTGCTTTGTCTTAAACTCAAGTGGTCTCCCTTTTATGATGAAAAAGGGGTTGAAAGGGGATTTTCCCTATAATTGTAAGGGCACCTGCAGTGAGAGAGAGAGAGAGAGAGAGAGAGAGAGAGAATGAACTCCCTCTTTAGCGCTCTCTCTCTCTATTCTTCACCATAGCCAATGTTTTTAGTATTGTGCAAACAGTATTCACAGCCATACTTTTAACATTGCCATCTTTTTAAACTAATAGCCTAAATCATATTTTCAAGATTTGAAAGAAAAAATGAACCAAACATAGAATAAATGGTATTTTTTTGCTCATATTTCACGGAAATGTTTTGGGATATATGACTATTGAAATCCAAATAATGCTGTCTATCATGTCTGTTTCATAATGGATTAGATCACTCATTTACTTTGAGTTTACTCAATAATATATATATATATACTGTATTTTATATATATATATATATATATATATATATATATACACTGTCGCTCATAAGTTGGAATTTTTTTTAAACCTCAATTTATGGAATTATATTGACAATGATTTATTCCTAATAGATCTAGATAATAGTATGCATTCTCAGATTTTATGTAATAATAATTTGCCAGTGTTTTTTTTTTTGCGTGACTGCTAAAGCATGTGTATGCTATTATGCTTATCAACTAGGGGACCTACGCCCTTAAGTCATAAATGACAGTAATGAGGATTAATGCCCCACTAAAGGGCACTAATATAGCACATCGACACGTTTTTTTAAATCCTGGGGCCTCACAGTTGCGAGGCCATTGCTTTGCCACCGAACCATGACTGTACGCAGCGGGGGCTAGGGTAGGGGGCAGTTCCCACAAATAAAACAAAAAACAATGAAAAAGCAATAAGTTTTCAATAATTCATTGAATTTCCCTCTGGTCCCCAACATAAAGAATCTTCTGTGTGCCCATGCCTTGAGCCATAATGCATGGTCCAAAGATGAATAAATAACTCATTATCCACATTTATAATTATCAGGAAAAAAAATCTTTGATATTTACAATAGCGTAAACAGGGTTAAAAAGATGTTTCAAGAATATGAAGAACATTCTTTAAAAAATATGTGTTTAAAACGATCGAAAATCATCCTAAGGCAATTTCAAGAGCTTTATTCATTCCCTGTTGAAATGTGCGAGAATGTCAATGAAGTATTACGTAATCCGGACATGATTTCTCTAAGCAATACAATAGGGTATTCAAATATTCCTTAAGTTGATTTTTGTTCTCCAAAGTCTTCTTTAAAATTTACAAACTTGTGAATTCTAATATCAGGGCTTGGTTGATGGCTCGGTAACTCTAGAAATTAGTATTACTTTGGCCACAAAGCAACCGTGACAATAACGAGTAATTAATTCACAAGCTTTCTGTTATTTGTCATCATTAAATATATATCATAAATTATATATATCACATATATATCGATATTGGTGGTAGTAATATTGATGAGTAATTTGAGATGTTTCATGACGATTTTTTCCAATGCTAAAACTAACCATTTTCACAGTTCGGTTTATCAATGACAGCGGGCGGTGATGATAATTATTGATGGTGGTAATTTTAAGGAGTAATACAAAATAATTTTGGCCTAATTTGCAATGTTTTAGGACCAATTAACGATGATTAACTTACCATTTTCACAACTCAGTTTATCAGGGGGGCAGGGCGTTTCCCAGAGAGAAGATGATATTGGTGCAGACGATACGCACCCGAGAAGAAAGGCAGCAAAATAGAGAGAATAAAACATCTTCATACCGCGTTGTTAATATCGATGAGTTTTTGCTTGGGCTGTGTCTCTCAATATCCCTGTAGAGATAAATTAACTGGTACAGGATCTACAGTTGAAACAAAATCAGAAAGCCTCAGATTCTTTTTTTCTTAAATCAAGTTTTCACCAATTTATTGTTGCAGGCGAGAAGAACCGAGGAAGAGATATTGCGTTGTGATAAACATGCGTATATATGGGTTTTTACCCGGAAGTTGAAATCAACATGTATCATATTTCGTCGTGGGCGAAAATAGAAAAAATGTTATCAGTTGAGTTCCGTAAAACTTGTAGAATAAAAAATGTGCAATACCATGGTGAAAGTGTATAGCGCCGGTATCCGCCTCCGACGAGCGCTCAGTTAAATTTTGAATATTTAAAATATTTATCTCCATGGGATACACAGCTACCTTTGACATTATGGGGGCATCTACCCCTTCCCTGAATTCCAGGTCCAAAGGTCGACCGCTCTTTGGCGAGGGGAATCGGACAGAGGACATAGGTATGGTGGTGGGGGGGGGGGGGGGGGGGTGCCCGGGGCGAGGGGTACACTGTAAAGTCCAGGGTGTAGAAATTCTTACACCAGTATGGTATTGAATTTTTTGACACCATTGGTGTTGATTATAAAGGTGCGTTGTCTCAGTGGTGTTATTATTTTTTTTTACACCGGTCAGATTTAAGCATGCATTAATAATTACTGGGTGTTAAGTAACATGGTGTAGTTTTATGCTCGGTTTTGAAAGTATCATCACGTGATTTCGTTTAAGGTGGTTGATTGGTCGAATAAGTTTTCACAAAGTTTACGCGCGCTTAATGATTACTTTACACGTGTTCACAGAAAAATACATTTATCATGATTTGTTAAGCAAATTATGACAATGCACATCAATTTTGTGATTTGTATTTTCCTTGGGCAATTATTGACCAAAAGATTATTTGTCCGATCTTGTTACAATTACATTAACATTTTAGCAATAGATATATTGATTATATGATTACTAACCAAGAAACAACATGCATGTTTATTATATATTCGTGTAACAGCCTGTACCAGATAGTGCGTTTTTAATGTTATATTTTTATAATAGTTTGTATTTTATTTGATAATTTCTGGACCTCTAGGAAGAACAGAGCCATTTTAATAATGGCTCTAAATAGAGCTTTCCAGTCGTTTTTTAATTCTTGATTTGTATTATTTGTAAATTGTATAGTATGTATTGAATTTTTATGCGGAAAATAAAACCAAACCAAACCAAATTTAAAAGTTAATCTTGAATTTAATCCAAAATATGATGGAGTTCATTTCATTTCATTTTTATTTTTTCATTTCCAACAAAATACAATACATAATAACGAATACAATGTAAAATGTATACAAAACATAGTTACATTGGTAATAAACAAATCTTAATAATAATTTATACATTTTAGGAAGACAAAAAAATGAATTTTAAAACTTAATTGCATTTATATTTTGAGAAAATGGAGAGGTCCACTGAAAAGCAAAGCTTGTAAATTGTGGACCCCTCAGATAATAATGAGTGTGAACAAAATATTGAATACATAATCAATTAAAGAAGAATAGTGGCCAACAGAGAACATTTATTAAAACACGTAATGACTGTAAATAAGAAGACGTAACAAATTACATGACGAAGAAAGAACAGAAAAAAAGAAGAAGAAAAAAAAAAGGGGGGGGGGAAGGAACAAAAATGCGGGCTGCGTTTGGAGGGAAGGAGAGTGAGAGAAAAGGAAAGTTGTAGAGATCGAGCATAGGGAGCGCACAAAATCCTTGAGATAGCTGAAACAAGAGAGCAAGAACATGATGGCAAGTAGTTTTTTGTTTTGAGATGGGCTGAAGAAAAGAGGGAAAGAAAATGTTAATGCAATGGAGATTAGAATATACCTATTGTTGGACAGTCAAACGATTCGCATTTCAACTTAATCTATGATTCCATTTTTACATATTTCCGGTCATGCGTGCAACCAAACTTTAGGGTCATTCTTTTATTTTCTTCTTTTTTTTAAACAGGAAATTACACGCTCGTTTATGAAAAGTTAAACCGCTTTCGAAAGTAAGTACTTTCTCTTTAAGCCCAGGATATGATTGCCATAGTCATTTTCTTTTCAAGGTTATGTATTTAGAGAGTACACGCAACATTTCCAAAATGACTGCAATGATTAACCCGTGAAAGGTACATTCAGCTTGGTTTGAGCCCCCCCCCCCCTCTCCCCTACCCACCGAGCCCCCGAATCCGACCCATTTCACCCGATCTATCCCATGTGCCGTTGGGGAATTACACTCTCCCTCTACATCCACCCATGATAATGCGTAGCATTCGTATTAGGTGGTAGCACTGAGTATGTTCCAAATAAATTTGTAATCAATTATTTCACACTGTCTCGCATATTTGAACGAAGGGCAAGGGTTTGGGGCTCATTACAGACTTTCAACGATAGAAAAATTGCAGCCACATTTTTTGGAAATCATTTGCCTTAAAAGATATGAGGATTAAATTTTAAACACAAAATGACAAGTATCTGTCCATTCAAGAAAGAGGACATAATTAATCAAGAAAAGAAAAGGGCAGAAAAAGAAAAGGAAAACTATCAAAAACTACCAAAACTGAAGAAAAATTCTCTTCAAGAAGAAAAATGTGAATCTAATTTACAATTTTAAATCATCTGCACTAATCGAATTGCGATATTTTAAGGTGTGTGTGTGTGTGTACATAGTTGATCAAGTTCACATGAAGATGACGTCAAAACCTTCATGACGTAGTATTCGTTCACAGGTTGTTTCCTTGACGTCCGACAGGATTGTCCGCCTACGATCATTACGAGGGGGACGTCCCTTTTCGATCTCTCTCTCTCTCTCTCTCTGTTTCTCTGTCTCTGTCTGTCTGTCTGTCTCTCTCTTTCTCTCTGTCCTATCTCCCTTTCTCACTCACACTCTCTCTCTCTCTCTCTCTCTCTCTCTCTCTCTCTCTCTCTCTCCTGTCTCTCTGTTTCTGTCTGTTTCTCTTTGTCTCGATCTGTCTCCGAATCTCTCTCTCTCTCTCTCTCTCTGTGTTTCTCTCTGTTTCTCTCTGTCTCGATCTGTCTCCCAATATCTCTCTCTCTCTCTCTCTCTCTCTCTCTCTCTCTCTCATTTCATTTATTTTATTTCATTTTAATTACCAAAAAATACAATGATGACTTGTGCAGGGCATTGACTTTTTTTTTTTATTAACCAAACTCTGTACCTTTCGCATTTTGTAATTCTGTATCTCTCTTTGATTTTCCTGGTATCTTACCACGTTTGACACTTGAATGGGAAATACGAAGAGAAAAGGACAGACAGAAAGAGTTAAAGGAAGAAAGGAACAACAGATTATTTCACACTTTAGTCTCACAGCTGCTGAGTGATGACTGTTTTATGTACATTGATAATTGAAGAAATTTCATTGTGAAAAACGGATATAATTATGTATAACATAAATGGTGCTTCTACTACTGCAACTGCTACTTCTACAACATCAACAGCTACTACTATTTCTACTACTGCTGCTGCTGCTACTACTTCTACTACTACTGCTGCTACTACTACTGCTACTAATACTACTAATTCGGGTCATATCCCACATTCTTGCACCCTTTTTTAAGCGAAATGGAGAAATCAAGAGATATACTATGACTCCATTTCCTTTTTTTATTGAAGGGTTGGGCAGGTCTAATTGGTTTGTCATTCATTGTTTACCATGGTGATTCGAAAGACGAGATTATGTTTTAAAGAGTAAATATAATAAAACAACTAGATTGGCGGGAGTGTAGGAGTAAATATGAAACTGAAACAAAAACATTTAATCGTGTCAGTGCCGTCATAATAATATTATTATAAACATAATTGTTTGTATAAAGCGAATTGCCTTGGTTTTGCTATTAAGGGAAGCAACAATACAAGTCTTTATTTATCAAGTCATCTGTTGAGTGTTCTGAGTTCCCCTTTTTCTTATCTATCTTGTTTCCTGATTCCCATTTTCGATTTCGATTTCGTTTCGAGTTTTTTTTTGGGGTGGTATAGCTTCCACCTGCTTCTCTCTCTCTCTCTCCCCCCCCCCCCCCCCCCCTCTCCTCCTCCTTCTCTCTCCTTCTCTCTCTCTCTGACTCTGCCTCTCTCTCTCTGACTCTTCATCCCTTTTATAGATTTGTATTTTTGTCACCATTTTATACGGCATTTTCCACTTACGAGTTTTTTTTTTTTGGGGGGGGGGGGGGGGGGGGGGGGGGGCTCTGTCGACAATTTGATCAAATACAGCAACCCCATTAAAATGATATGGCTATGCCTAAACCCTTACAACCACACGTTGTATCAGTATAATGAACGTCTATAATCATTTTAATGTCTTTAATCTCAACCAAATTTGATACACTACTTTTTCACTGCAAGAAGATTGCAACATTATCGAGAAATCGAATTACAGGAAAATTCAATTCCCTTTTTACAAACATTATTTTGTAATAATCATTTGATTCTACTGTTCGAACATTCAATAGTAATTGATGGAGAAGGCTATTAAAATGGCCGGAGGGTATAGTTCTCGAAAGTCTTTCGTTTATGTTCTTCTATATTCAACAGATCAAAATGTTCTTGAAATAATGTCCTTTCCATTCCCGTCTAGTTATGGCGATTAACAGTTAATCTAGTTAAAGATAAAGTTGAGTTCTGGTCATGCGATTGCATTGTGAAAGAAAAGGTGTGGAATGGATGAGAAAAAGTTGATCATATAGCATGTAAGTATTGGTGTGTATTGCAAGTTTCTGGAGTCATCAAAATCATAATAAATTTGGCCCAGTTTTGGTAAAGTAACAAGCACTGTACACAGAAAGATGTATATGAGACGACACAAATAGTGTCGGGTCAACTTTCCTTGATTTCCTTTTCTTTCTATGCTCTTTACTCAGCCAGTATACATTTTCTACCAAAATTGTTTGGCAACTGAAATTTATTTGTAATCTTGAACATCAGTGTAAGTTTTGTTTGATTCTGTGAGAATTTATTTTTTTTTTTTTTTTAACCAGAACTCAAGTTTATTTTTAACAGAGTTGATGATATAGTCTCAAAGTCATATACATGTCATATCTGTCAAAACAGGACTTTGATCAAATTGTAGGGAATCAAAGCTTAGGATGAGTTGGGGAACCCCTCCCACACCGACCCTTGTTGG